AGTCATGTATTCCGTGGACAGTTATGTATTCCGTGTACAGTCATGTATTCGGTGTATGCTCATGTATTCCGTGTACAGTCATGTATTCGGTGTACAATCATGTATTCGGTGTACAATCATGTATTCCGTGTACAGTGATGTATTCGGTGTACAGTCATGTATTCCGTGGACAGTGTTGTATTCCGTGTGCAGTCATGTATTCGATGTACAGTCATGTATTCGGTGTACAGTCATGTATTCGGCATAGTGATGTATTCGGTGTACAGTCATGTATTCCGTGTACAGTTATGTATTCGGTGTACAGTTATGTATTCGGTGTACAGTCATGTATTCCGTGTACAGTCATGTATTCGGTGTACAGTCATGTATTCGGTGTACGGTCATGTATTCGGTGTACAGTCATGTATTCGATGTACAGTTATGTATTCGGTGTACAGTCATGTATTCGGTATAGTGATGTATTCGATGTACAGTCAGGTATTCGATGTACAGTCATGTATTCGGTGTACGGTCATGTATTCGGTGTACGGTCATGTATTCGATGTACAGTCATGTATTCGGTGAACGGTCATGAATTCGGTGTACAGTCATGTATTCGGTGACCGGTCATGTATTCGGTGTACAGTCATGTATTTGGTATATGTATTCGGTGTACAGTGATGTATTCGGTGTATAGTCATGTATTCGGTGTACAGTCATGTTTTTGGTGTATGTATTCGGTGTACAGTCATGTATTTGGTGTACAGTCATGTAATCTGTGTATCTATTCGGTGTACAGTCATGTATTCGGTGTATGTATTCGGTGTACAGTCATGTATTCGGTGTACAGTCATGTATTCGGTGTACGGTCATGTATTCGGTGTATGTATTCGGTGTATAGTCATATGTTCGGTGTATGTATTCGGTGTACAGTCATGTATTCGGTGTACACTCATGTATTCGGTGTACAGTCATGTATTCGGGGTATAGTAATGTATTGGGTGTACAGTCATGTATTCGGTGTACGGTCATGTATTCGGTGTATGGTCATGTATTCGGTGTATGGTTCATGTATTCGGTGTATGGTCATGTATTCGGTGTATGGTCATGTATTCGGTGTATGGTCATGTATTCGGTGTACAGTCATGTATTCGGTGTACAGTCATGTATTCGGTGTACACTCATGTATTCGGTGTACAGTCATGTATTCGATGTACAGTTATGTATTCGGTGTACAGTCATGTATTCGGATAGTGATGTATTCGGTGTACAGTCATGTATTCCGTGTACAGTTATGCATTCGGTGTACAGTTATGTATTCGGTGTACAGTCATGTATTCCGTGTACAGTCATGTATTCGGTGTACACTCATGTATTCGGTGTACGGTCATGTATTCGATGTACAGTCATGTATTCGGATGTACAGTTATGCATTCGGTGTACAGTCATGTATTCGGTATGTGATGTATTCGATGTACAGTCAGGTATTCGATGTACAGTATGTATTCGGTGTACGGTCATGTATTCGGTGTACGGTCATGTATTCGGTGTACAGTCATGTATTCGGTGAACGGTCATGAATTCGGTGTACAGTCATGTATTCGGTGACCGGTCATGTATTCGGTGTACAGTCATGTATTTGGTATATGTATTCAGTGTACAGTGATGTATTCGGTGTATAGTCATGTATTCGGTGTACAGTCATGTTTTTGGTGTATGTATTCGGTGTACAGTCATGTATTTGGTGTACAGTCATGTATTCTGTGTATCTATTCGGTGTACTGTCATGTATTCGGTGTATGTATTCGGTGTACAGTCATGTATTCGGTGTACAGTCATGTATTCGGTGTACGGTCATGTATTCGGTGTATGTATTCGGTGTATAGTCATATGTTCGGTGTATGTATTCGGTGTACAGTCATGTATTCGGTGTACACTCATGTATTCGGTGTATGTATTCGGTGTACAGTCACGTATTCGGTGTATGTATTCGGTGTACAGTCATGTATTTAGTATATGTATTCGGTGTACAGTCATGTATTCGGTGTACAGTCATGTATTCGGTGTACAGTCATGTATTCGGGGTATAGTAATGTATTGGGTGTACAGTCATGTATTCGGTGTACGGTCATGTATTCGGTGTATGGTCATGTATTCGGTGTATGGGTCATGTATTCGGTGTATGGTCATGTATTCGGTGTATGGTCATGTATTCGGTGTATGGTCATGTATTCGGTGTATGTATTCGGTGTACAGTCATGTATTCGTGTACAGTCATGTATTCGGTGTACAGTCATGTATTCGGTCATGTATTCGGTGTATGGTCATGTATGTATTCGGTGTACAGTCATGTATTCGGTGTGTATGTATTCGGTGTATGTCATGTATTCGTGTACAGTCATGTATTCGGTGTACAGTCATGTATTCGTGGTGTATGTATTCGGTGTACAGTCATGTATTCGGTGTACAGTCATGTATTCCGGTGTACAGTATGTATTCGGTGTACAGTCATGTATTCGGTGTACAGTCATGTATTCCGTGTACAGTCATGTATTCGGTGTACAGTCATGTATTCGGTGTACAGTTCATGTATTCCGTGTACAGTCATGTATTCGGTGTACAGTCATGTATTCGGTGTATGTATTCGTGTACAGTCATGTATTCGGGTACAGTATGTATTCGGTGTATTGTCATGTATTCGGTGTACAGTATGTATTCGGTGTACAGTTATGTATTCGGTGTACAGTGTGTATCGGTGTACAGTCATGTATTCGGTGTACAGTCATGTATTCGTGTGTACAGTGTATGTATTCGGTGTACAGTCATGTATTCGGTGTACAGTCATGTATTCCGGTGTACAGTCATGTATTCGGTGTACAGTCATGTATTCGGTGTACAGTCATGTATTCGGTGTACAGTCATGTATTCGGTGTACAGTCATGTATTCCGTGTACAGTCATGTATTCGGTGTACAGTCATGTATTCCGTGTACAGTTATGTATTCGGTGTACAGTCATGTATTCGGTGTACAGTCATGTATTCCGTGTAGGGCCATGTATTAGTATCTGTACCATGGTTTGTTTCGCCTCAGTCAAGTCTTCTGGCAAATTGTTGAAGGTTTTCATTTGCTTGGGGTGGTGGGGTAGCCTAGTGGTTAAAGCGTTCGCTCGTCAAGCCGAAGACCATTGTTCGATTCCCCACATGGGTACAATGTGTGAAGCCCATTTCTGGTGTCCCTGCCGTGATATTGCTGGAATATTGCTAAAGGCGGCGTAAAACTACACTCACTCATTTGTCTGTTTCGTAAACGGTGCTTTCGACATACGTCTACAACATCGAGAACACGTGTACTGGACTGTTTATTGTTGTGTAACTTCTCGAACCGTCGACCGTGATGACGCACAATCATCAGAGCCTGACGACCTGGCCTCTTCAACCCCCAGGGCATCTCATGACAAGGATACGACTAGAATGTCAACTCTCCTAACGCATTGCTTGCAAACAATAGCCGATAACTCCCGGACCCATTGGCACCATTCGATACCTTCCACGAAATATCTTTCTGCCCTGGTGACCACACTACGAGTGGAGTGACCTAGATTGTCCGGATAGATAACAAAGACGAGCCTAATCCTCGCTTCGGTTGCTTCTTACATTACAGCGCCTATGTGATATTTTCATTCAAGAGTGGTCTATGTCCATTAGTACTTCTAGATATTTAGAATATTATGCCTCTCATAAGTCTTTGCTAGAACCAGAATTGTATGTTTTAAATTTTCATGATAAATCTTTGATAAGAGCTTTATGTAAATTAAGAATTGGTTTTCATGATTTCTGTGTAAATAGGGCACGTAAACATGGTATTTCTACAGAATGCAAAAGTGATATGATCTGTTCTAATTGTAATACAGGCGCTATAGAGGATGAGTTCCATGTCATGTTTGTATGCACCCAGTATCTAAGTTTGCGAAAAAAGTATATGCCTTTTCTTTCACACACTGTTATAGATAAACATTCACAGTCAAATTTGTTAAATTCTAAGAATATTATGACCATAAAGTCTGTAGCAATGTATCTCAAACATGTTTTTACTGTGAGTAGCCATAAATGTAACCATGTATGAAACCATATGTTCACGTGACTTGCAAAGTATTCTGTAACAACAATAATTGTAATGTAGGCCTTAAGGCCAGAATTACTGAATAAACTGGATCTGAATACATTTTGTATTGGTACTGGGACAGTCAAGCGCATGATAACATAGCTATAAAAAACAACTCTCCTCGGGAGCTGTACAACGAAGAAAAGCAAAGGCTGTTTAACATGGACATGGACAAACGTTTCCACGAGTGAGGATACTTTCACAATGAAAGTTAAACTGATGAAATAGTTTATAACGGCTTGACTGGACTGCGACAACAGAGACGCTAGGTGCGTCACAGTGAATTCTGTGTAGGTGTGGTTTTGTAACGTCATTTCCATGATACGCCTGGGGCATTTATACTGCAATCTAGGCTTCATAAACACCGACTTCTTATCCAGCCGGTTGTCGGCTGGTAGATTGCAACACATCCGTTGAAAACATGACTACAGGGCTTGTGTTGTGTGAAGCTCTATCCATTTGGTTTATGAACTGAACGGAGCATGAAAAGATAATGTGACGTCATACTCCGAAAGAATTTCCTGCATGATTTAGGGGCCTGTACCGTTCCGCTTAACATGTTGTATACGTAGATATTGATTATAAGTACATGGATACAAAATGCCGTATCTTCAAACCAAAGGAGTTGACACGGAAGAGTGGTTAAATGATGACTATTGATCACTGAGTTGTGACTATATATAGTACCTGACGTCCACCTGCACCACCAATGTACACAGTCCTGTCGTATAGCTCCACTGTTAACACTGGTATAACATTCAACTAGGGCTCGGACGGGCCCAAAGTTTCTACCTCACCCCCTGTTACCCTGCCCTACCCGGATACCCATTATGTTAATTCCTGACACCAAATTTGCGAGAAATGGCAATATATTCTTCAGCTCGGAGGCTAACATTTCGAATTTTTCAATATCTTAACAATGTATTATATTCAAAACAGGTGACTGTAAATTGTGTCTAAATCTTCGAAAAAATATACAATCTTTTAATCATGAAAGAATAACATACAACATTGTTAATCTATTAGTTACATGATCATAACCGGTCCGGATATTGAGGCGCGTACCCGGGTCCAACTCATAACCCACCCGACCCAGCTCTACGTTCAACCTATTTCACCTTTTTACTACAGTAAACAATGAAAGGGGTGCCCTACACAGCAATCGGAACCTACCTGTACGAGGTGACAGCCACGTCCAGCATGTTGAAGGTCCTGCAGTTCGACTGTAACGATGAGATCTGAGTCAGTTGTCCCCAGGTCATCTGTAAAGAAAGGCAGTCATGCATCTACTGCGCGTGATCCATTGCTTTGTAAAGAGCTTAATAATATCCTTTTCAAAACCTCGCCCCGTCAGGTTTGAAAGCGAGGCTTAGAGTGAATAAGGTGAAGACACGGGGTCTTGCTATTCTATCCAAATTGATAACCTCCAAATGTCCATGTCAACCTGTTTCGGGATAACCTCCAAATGTCGATGACAACCTGTTGGGGATAACCTTCAAGTGTCCATGACAACCTGTTGGAGATAACCTCCAAATGTCCATGACAACCTGTTGGGGATAACCTCCAAATGTCCATGACAACCTGTTGGGGATAACCTCCAAATGTCCATGACAACCTGTTGGGGATAACCTCCAAGTGTCCATGACAACCTGTTTGGATAACCTCCAAATGTCGATGACAACCTGTTGGGGATAACCTTCAAGTGTCCATGACAACCTGTTGGAGATAACCTCCAAATGTCCATGTCAACCTGTTGGGGATAACCTCCAAATGTCCATGACAACCTGTTGGGGATAACCTCCAAATGTCCATGTCAACCTGTTTCGGGATAACCTCCAAATGTCGATGACAACCTGTTGGGGATAACCTTCAAGTGTCCATGACAACCTGTTGGAGATAACCTCCAAATGTCCATGACAACCTGTTGGGGATAACCTCCAAATGTCCATGTCAACCTGTTAGGGATAACCTCCAAATGTCCATGACAACCTGTTGGGGATAACCTCCAAATGTCCATGACAACCTGTTGGGGATAACCTCCAAGTGTCCATGACAACCTGTTGGGGATAACCTCCAAATGTCCATGACAACCTGTTGGGGATAACCTCCAAATGTCCATGACAACCTGTTGGGGATAACCTCCAAGTGTCCATGACAACCTGTTGGGGATAACCTCCAAGTGTCCATGACAACCTGTTGGGGATAACCTCCAAGTGTCAATGACAACCTGCTGGTTATAACCACGAAATATCCATGACAACCTGTTGGGGATAACCTCCAAGTGTCCATGACAACCTGTTGGGGATAACCTCCAAGTGGCCATGACAACCTGTTGGGGATAACCTCCAAGTGTCAATGACAACCTGTCCATGACAAGCTATTGGTTATAACCACGAAATATCCATGACAACCTGTTGGGGATAACCTCCAAGTGTCCATGACAACCTGTTGGGGATAACCTCCAAGTGTCAATGACAACCTGCTGGTTATAACCACGAAATATCCATGACAACCTGCTGGGGATAACCTCCAAGTGTCCATGACAACCTGTTGGGGATAACCTCCAAGTGTCAATGACAACCTGCTGGTTATAACCACGAAATATCCATGACAACCTGCTGGGGATAACCTCCAAGTGTCCATGACAACTCGTTGTTGAGTATGTTGGGGTTCTTATACATAGATAATATAGACCTTTGACTACATCTAACAAGATATGAATCCATTTCACGCGTTATTTTTATATTGTTTGTTGTTTAACGCTGCACACAACATATCTCAGCTATATGGCTGCAGTCTGTAAATAATCGAGTCTAGGAATAAACATCTTGTCAGCGAGCTAAACCACCAGGTTTCATTACGACATGCAAAGCCTGCTGAAGACCACTTCACTCCCGGATCCTCACCGATTTGTTATTTTTATATATCATCCAGGTAGGCAGCACTCCTTCAAACCCAAGACACGTTTATCATGTATTGTGTAATAAAACGATTTCGTGACGAAGCTACAGTGGGGATCGGCTCAACGCTGGGGTGTCAATAGCACTGTCCAAACGTAGCCTACAACATCTACTCTACTGGCCTTTCCTTTCAAAACACCAGATACATAGACAGACTGTGTGCACCCAAAATGTATTAAACGACATATATTACTTGACTATGTCATTTTTCAGAGTCTTTTCAGGTGCCCGTGATATGGTCCTATCCGGGATTCGAACCCAAATTTCAAGAGTCAGGCACCTAATAAACCAGCACACCACTCAGCCCCCGCGGCTTTCATTGCCTAAGCTATGAATACACAATGCCCTTTAGACAGTGGTCAATTGGGATTACACTTTCTCAGCCAAATATAGATCCTGAAGGTTTGATTTTCTACCAAGACAGGACACCTGAGTTCCTGTAGGGTGTCGCCATGGCTGCAATACATGACTGCTTTGAACAACTCATTGTTCAGCGTCCGTATTTACCATTATTAGATGCAGAAATTTGCTGGAATTTTTACGATTTCAAATGTTTTGTGTACGTTTGGCATATATGAGATAAGAGGCGACTAACGGGGTCGGGTGGTCAGGCCCGCTGTTTGGCTGACACAGGTCGTCGTATCCCAAATGAGTTGACCGATGCTCATGGCGATGATCACTGGATTGTCTGGACGAGTGTTACAGACCGCCGCCATAAAGCTGGAATATTGCTGGGTGCATTAAACAACAAACAAACACACAAGATATGATTAGCACCTATACGTTTGGAATGATCAGAGAGTTCCTTTCATAGCCATGTGCAGGCATCAAACCATGCGAATTGGAAATATAAGGACATTTAATCAATTTCAACTGGTCTCCCTAGGGCTTTTGTCATCAAATTCACAGCTCGTTAACTTGGGCAAAGGACACAAGCGAAGGTTTAGTCTTTGATTATTTGGATGTTTACTACAGTAGACGATTTGATAAAGAACTGTTACGACAGAGTGTGTCAAATGCTGACGGAAGAAGGCGCCACGTTTTATGGACAACCCTAATATATTCTATGAATTGTTTGCTTTCACTATAACGGTCATAAAACTATTGAGACGTCCATTTTAGTAATACATAACGGTATACATAAGACATATACAACAAGCTGAACACATGTCATAAACTAACTTCCTTACACAACACCCTTACACACGTAAATAGTACCATCAAATCAGAACTACTGTGTAAAAGGCGCCTAGCGCGTGAGTGATGTAAAATAGACGCCCATTGACAGCAGAACGTTGTATATGTGTGACAAGTGTCGGTTGGTTACTGAAGTAAAATGCTTTGCGTTGTGTTTGATAATTGGTCTCTTTACGTGGTCAGTATATCTTGTCTACAAGTTCTGTGTGAATGGTTCCTGGCGGGTTCTCCCAATTCAACTCAATTAAAGTCAGAACAAAAGAATATTAGGTGAAAAAAAATGGGGAAAAAAACGTATTAGTCTAAACAATCCTACCTATATCTGCCTACCTAAATCCTACTTAAATACATTTTAACTTTGGTCTATGTCCACCCCCTAATACCTACCCCCGAAAATAACAAAACAAAACCTACTCATTCCTATGCTATTTCTCCCCCTTCCCAAGCTAACACTAAATCAACACGACATCCCTAAAACAACAAACAATACGTGGATACTTAACCTGGTCTTGATGCAAGACTCGAAGTCGCTGAACACTTACCCGATGCGGGTATCAGACGACTGACGATTGGTAGGCCTATATAGTCGACATCGGGCCACGTGACTGGGGAAATCCAGATTTCGGCCAATGCGCACGCTCCCTACATCTCTGCCCCTCAAGATGGCGGAGCATGCAAGAAGCGTGACATCGTCCTGTCTCCCCGGCCACGAGGTCCGCATGGGCCTAGGCTTCTACATATGTGACTACAAAGGTAGGTACTACGTCAGCCGCCCACCCAACTACCTAACCTACCCCACCCACTATGAAACTTTTGTATTTACTAAACTTTTATACCCCGAGACGCCCACAACTGTAAGCACATATTTACAGATCTGGCATAGCACACAGTAAAATACCAAACATCCTGATACTATCATATATACACATACATACACAACACATACATGATAAAAGCTTCATAAACTTATAAATCAAAATACTCATTCAAATACCTGCCTATCCAGGAGATTTTGCCATTTACTAAACGTCTCACAAATGTACAAATTACCTTATTTAGCATACATAACATAATGTTTATATAACCTTATTTATGAAAAGATATACACATATATGTTTATGTATTTAATTAAACAAACATACCTTGACAGTAGTGAAGTAACTGAAATTAGTAAACTTGCTGCAGTCTGTTGGTGACTTCTCTGTCCAGTGACTGAGGTGCAAGTGAGGGTTAAAAAGCATGCAAGCTAAGAACAATAGGGTCAGCCACTCAACCAGAACATTTGCCCTGGTTTAAACAAAAGGAAGTGATAGGTAAGTGACTGACCCAAGCATATCCAAGTTAAAATATTTAAGGTGTAGTATCACCTCTTAATTAAAAACCTTCACACCCGTAATGCTAACTAATATCAATAGCTACTAACTAATAACTAAAACAAATAACTAATACTAATGCTAATACCAATACTATATTCACTATATACTAATCACTATTACTAATACTAACGCAAATACTAATGTCACTATTTATACTAATAATAATTACAGTGGTGTACAGTGTATGGTTTATTTGACAGTAACACATATATATGTGACTGTCACATTTATTTCATTCAGTATTGAAAGAGATTGGGCTCAAGTTATTCAACTTAGTAAAGCCCGCTTCCGACAATTGCATGGAAAAATACATGTGATGGACAATGAACAGGGGAAAGACATATTATACATTAACTGAAACGCTTACTACGTACAATGAATTTATGGACTTGACTAAAAAAAATTCATTTATAGTGGTTGGCAGACTAAGCCTCCTGTACAGAATGGTGTTTATATCTAAGCTAACGTTTAGGATTTCAAAGCCTTGTATCAAATCAACCGGCAGCTGACATACTTTGGACATTTTAGAAAGGAATGCTTGGCACCTTGCACAAGAGCACCACAATGGCAAGTTTTACCTTCAGATAAATTGACACGAAAAAGATCACCATTTAAGGAACTACATGAATGTCTTAACTTAGTGTGTAGAATATTCATCTTCCTTTCACCAAATAGGAAATCTTTAGGAATTTTTATCATTTTTAAGATAATTTCAATTTAAATAAGGAAACGACTTGAAATATTTTATTGTGGAGAAGAGATTATTCCATAAAAAAGAACATTCATACATAAATGAC